ACCCTAGTGAAATGAAGTATGTGTAGACATAGTACTTGTTTCTATTGTTGTTATGGAGGGAGAATCCTAGATAAACATCATATCTTGGTGACCTATGTATTTTATTATATTGACAATAAATACTAATAAGTTCCTATGGGAGAGAAAGGATATCAAAATTATTGTAAAGAGCTCTTTATCTAGATGAAGAAAAACAAACAAACAAACAAACACACACACACACACACACAACAGACTAGAAACATTTCTCCTGCAGGTGTGTTTGATTTCTGACATTCCATTTATAAGGCATGGAAACAGGGTAATTTCCACTATTAGGCATATTTGTTTCAAAGCTATTTTTGAAAAAAATTACACTGAGCTGCTTGAGATTCTACTAAATAACTGAAATACAGCCTTTGGAATTTTAGCCAGTAGTAGTATATATAAATAATTAATGCAATGGATGGTATGATGTTAATATTTTTATATACAGTATAAATGTGAAAATATTAAAATGTGCTTCTGTCTCAGATTTTATTTTTGTCAGAGAGAGAGAGAGAAAGCCATTCTGAAATTCTTGAGTTTGCAAGAGGAGAATCTGACCCCAAAGTAGAGCAGCCTCCGAGGGAAAGGAGGTGGCAGTGCCGGTTTGCATGTGTGGGGCCCCGCCCACATACGGCCCCTGCCAGAGATGATTGGCATTCTGCACAGGAAACGCTGCCCTTTATTTTATTTGACAAAGAGGAACATCTCTAAACAGATTGGCTATTGGAAACTTCAGGTGTATGAGGGAAAAAGCTGCCTCCAGGTTTGTGAACCAAGGAAGAGAGCAGGACCCTGGACTAAGTTTCTGTATCTTCCTTGGTAAACATTAGAGGAGAGTAGTGCTGAATTATAATGAGAGAATATACATACCTATACACATATACATACATGCATGTATACATATATTCATATATGCATATATACATATGTTTGTGTGTGTGTGTGTCAAAATGTTGCTGTCCAAATGTAGACAATGACTAAAAAGAAGAAAGTAAGTGTACAATTTAGCAAACTTTTAGCATCTCTTTACACTATACACTTCTGAAATATTACCTGGAAAGTTTTAGTCTTCTCCAGGAATTAGATTGATTAAGAACTTCAAGATGGTGGATTATCAATGATATTGGAATCTGAAACGTTTAATCCTCTGAGCAGGAGTGTTTCTGACAGGTAACGTTCTGCAGTTCCAGAGAACTTTCAAACTTGTGCAGAGTATCCTAGGAAAAGCATACCATTCTGCCTGCACTTTTCAAGGTACTGCTTTATTTTCTAAGCCGTAACTAGCAGGCATGTAAGTGTGCCCACGGCACAAAATCACGATTGACACCACTAAGGTACTCCAGAATTATAACGAGTTTGTTTTCAGTTAGTCCATCTATGTGCTCCTAGCCTTCTCCAATTCATGTGTGCCTCTGAGAGTGCTTAGCAACTGCAGCAGCAAACAGCTGATCCTTCTTACTTACGTTTCCAATGTGCTTCTCCACACAGCTGCACACGCATGTGTACCAACCCAACTGCTAGTTGCACCTGCTCCAAGTTAGCAGTACTTCATGGGGCACAGGCAAGAGTGACACTCCCAAGTGCTAATCTGTTGAATGTACATCTGTGCTTTCTTTCAATAGCTGAGGACTCATGCTTTGTCCCACATAGGAGCCTCGTGTACACACATGGGGGCGACTGTGGATTTCCTTACTGGAAAAACAAAGCTGCCTTTGACATAAAAAATAAGTTATATTCTTCCATATTAATGACTGAGTGGTTTTTTTTCAATGTTTATATAAAGGGCTCTTTCATTCAACCAAACATTTTTTTTAAAGCTGCAACTTTTTCAAACTGGTGCAAGTTGTAAATAAGACTTTAAATTGGTCTTATCCTATACCCACTCTATACACCCCTTCAAATGCCATCATGATTTTTGTGACTACCTGAAATCTTCCGTTTCTGAGAAGGAAGAACAGCAAGGATAAGAGGAAAATTACTTTCTTGAGATTATGAGTGCAGCCAATCGGTTTCCAGAGGCACACCCCTTTGGGTAGGAGCCCCCTGAAACCTGACGTGGAGTAACTCTATAGCTCAGAGAGGCATGGAATGAATGTTTTGTACTATATCTCTGTTGTGTGAAATTCTAACGTCTTGTTTTATAACCTGATTTCCTGATTTTTAAAAGAATGTATATTTACTCACACTTGTATTCTGCCCAGCATTAACTTAAAAACATGTTTAACAAGTTAAAAGCAACTACTCAGAATCTTGACAGGTAGACTTCTCTGCAGGATTAGTCTCTGTCCTTCACTTGTTAAAAAAAAAAAAAAAGTGACAAATGAGGTTCCCAAGCTACCTCGTTTTTCTAAGATAGTTGCAAGTTTATGTAAACATAAATATTCCTTTAAGTCTAATGAAAATATACTCTACTTATAAGATTGGAGGTACATGTTTTCAGAAACTTAAATTTGCTTAAGAAAGTCAATAGAGTTTCTATCTTAGGCTATCATGGTCTTCAATTAATTTTAACAAACTAGAATTTCATCTGTACAGCTACAAAAAGACTACATCCAATGTTATAAGGACCCACACTACACACTTCAAAAGTAAATAAAACTAAGTAAACTTCATGTCAATCAGTGGTACAGGAGTCATAACTTATTCTGGAAACCTGGCTACTTATAAAACAATCTTTACTCATAATAGCTCAAGGATACAAAAGTTTTTACAGGTCTATCAAGAGCAAAGAAAAACATATTCACCCACCCAAATTATTTTGTTGTTTGGGGCTTTGCCACTATTAACTTGCAAAAGAATTCTTTTACTTAAAATGGACTACCATATTCCTAATAAGCAACAATTACCAGAAATCTCTTAGGCCCTTTAAATGTGATCATTCCTCTCTATCAAGCCAGTGGGATATTCTTTCTCCTTTGTTTTTTGTTTTGCATCTGCACGAACATGGCTGCTAATTATGTTATCCTGGTAGCACATATGTCTGAATGGGATAACAAAATCTCATGATCCTTATTGAGCGTAAAATATTTCCTGGGATTCAAATGTGCATACTTGCTTAGATTGAGCACTCCTATATTGCAGCAAATTCTATTTTGTTAGAGAACTTAGCTTTGATTAAGAATTTCCGTCTCATTAGTGATATAGCACCATTTCTAAAACCCATGGCATGTAGACACACCACACACACACACACACACACCTTGAGCCTTATCCTGCTACTTTGTATATTCAGCTTCCCTATTTGCATTTTCTTAAATTGTTTAAGTTCTTGAAAGTTTGTATTAACACAAAACACCATATAGATCTAGTGCCTACATCTGCCATAATAAAGCCCTACTATGTTAAATGGTTAAAGGTAAAAGAGTATAAGAATGATATTTCCTACCCACTCATTCTCAGTTTTATGCTTTTACACAATGAATAAGCAAATGTATTCTTTTCCAACTCATATAGGAATATACAAATGTTTTGAAAATGCTTATGCAATTTGGCATACTTAGCCTAATGTAGTTTAACAAAGTAAGCTCTCTTATTGCTCTGATCAGCTTTGTCATGAAGAGTAAAAATTCTTTATTTCAAAATGTAAATTAATGTGTGGTAGGAAAAAAAGTGGTTTATACATCATCAAGAAAATACGACATTCTTAAAATTATATTGATATGTATCTTCTTTTTCTTAATTCACAGGTCAAAATATACATCATAAGGTAACTTTCCTGGAAAAGATAAACATCCTGAAATAATATATAAGAAAAAAAAACTATGCAGCTAAATACTAAACAAAGCAATAACAGCAATCACCACTCATGGCAACTGCTAACAAAGAAGAACACTTAAGGAATTCTATCCATTTCCTTAGCATGCCTTTGCTCTTCTGAATACTTTCCTGATTGGACTCTCAGAAATTTCCTTCAGTCTTGTCCTTTCCGCCTTTATGAAACAGTTGTTCGAAACGTAAGTGGCTATTCAGGTTAATATATACTTTCCAGGGAAAGCTATTTTATAACAGGAGCAAGCAAGCACCTCCTACTTCAAATTAACCACTTACAGTGGCATATTTTTCACCTCTGAAGTATTTTCAGCCCCTCTTTCTATTGCCCTTAGGAAATTTAAATTCAGAGACATGACACTTCCATTATTGGCTCCTTGCCTCTTTAAAACCGAACCACATTCCTCAAAAAAAATAGTACATATAATTCTCTACCCTATAGGATCAAACAATAGTATCTATTCCAGGAGCAAAGACATACATAATGTAAGACAGAATATTTTTTTCCCCTTAGAACTGTTTGTCATAATTGTGATCTGAAGGCTACTGGTTCCGTCCATGGCAATGGTGTTGCTAAGTTCATCTAAGTATTTCTCTTCCATCTGCATACTTTTAAAACTCAAGGTGGCTTCCAGACCAAGCCACTTTAAAGATACCATCTGCCCTACAGGGTGGTCTGTGACAGCATTCTAGCCGTAAGACAACATATTCCATGAGAAAGAACACGTCAGTGAAGAAACAAAGATACTGCAAACATTGGCATACAGAAGAAAAGTAAACCTATACATATATAGGTATGCGTTCCACATTTCTCTGTTACCTGTATGGTGAATGATATGTGACGATCACCTTATTACAGTCCTAGGGATGCAGAGCATAAAAGAACCACAGCTCATCTTGCTTTGCTTAAAGAAATTAAAGACAAGTTCAACCCACACCCGCCAAACTGTCTTCAGAGGAATAGCAATAGGTTGGGGGGGGGGGGGGGGGCCTGAAAGGCTCAGCCTTTCTACCACACGGTGCGTCTCCCTGAAAATCATTTTAAATATAGACAACCTATCTGTCCCCTTTTCTCTTTTACTTTTTCCCCCCATCCTCATCCATCGCAGACCCTTTCCTGATCTGATCACCCACCCCCACCCCCTTGCCCACTCTCTCAGAGGCACACGCTACCCAAGAAGAGCACGGACCCAAGTGCCACTTACCAGTTGCATGCCACAGATAGAGATCAGCGTGCACCTGCCATTGCAATAGCCCATGGTTTCCGAGACCCCTGCCACGGCCAGGCTGTCCCACGCCGGCCACCGTCGAGCCCCCACCGTATCCAATCAGAGCGCCGGGGAGGACGGGCAGACCTGCCGCGGAGGGCTCGGGGGCTCCGGGCTGCCGCTGCCGGCGTCCTGGGAGCGGACAGGCATTAGGACCCGCGGGCGCCGCGGCGGCAGCGGCGGCAGCTCTGGCTCCGGCTCCGGCCGCGCCCGCCGCGCATACCTCCACTCGCGGGTGCGCACGCCGCGCCGCGGGCAGCGCCGCCCGTGGACGTGGCCACGCGCGCGGGGCCCGCGGGGGCAGCAGCGGTGGCCTCGCCGCGCCGCCGCGCCCACGGGCATCTGGCCGCCCAGTTGCGCCCGACGCGCGCCCGCCACGCGCTCCCCCCGCCCGCCCGCCCGCCTCCCTGCGCCGCGCGGCTCGGGGCGCCCGGGTACGCGGGGCCGATGGCGGGGGGAGCGGGGCGCGGCGCGGACGCGCGGGAGGGGGCGTCCGGGCTCCGCGGTCCCGGCGGCGGCTGCTGCGCGCAGGGATGCGGGGTCCGCGCCGCGTCCTGCAGCCGCGCGCCTCGGCCCCTCCCCGCGCCCAGATGTGTTAATCCTCCCGCACGGATCCTCCCGCCTGCACCCCGCGATCTCCCCCCGCCCCCGCCTCCAAAGGCGTCCGCTTCTCCCCCGGCCGCCGGCCGAGTCCGAGGGAGGCGAGTCCGGGCGGCGTGTCCGCGACTTGCTGGGCTGGGGACGGTCCTGCGCCCGCAACCCAGCCTGAGCGCCATAGCAAGCGAGGTGTGCAAGTGTGCGTGTGTGTGTGTGTGTGTTTGGGGAGAAGGGTTAGCCAAGGGGGACAGGATAACGGAATGGGGGTGCTGCCCAAGCATCACGCGGGTCCGGAAAGCCTGCGCGGGGCAAGTCGGAGCCCAGGAGGACCCAGGGGGAGCGGGGCGCTGCCTTCTGCCTGGTCCGGCTCCGGGGCTGCGAGCGCCGGTGCGGGGAGCGGTGCGGAGCAGGCGCCGCTCTGCCATAGGGAGCCGGTTGCTGGGGAAGTTGTCAGGGAACCTGGGAACTGGAGGGAGTAGCAATGAGTTGCAGTTGCTGTTTCTAACTGCTGTTGGTTTGCACTCGAGGAAGGAAAGGACCAGAAACCCTGTTCGCACCCCAGCCCCGGGGCCTGGAGGGCCGTCCCGGATGGAGGGGGAGGATTCCTGGAGGTCGCTGCTGCAAACCGCGCTGTGAGCGCCAGCCCGGAGCCGCGCGGCGGCCCCCACGACCTGCGGGGACGCGCCGGAGCCCGCTGCTGCCACCCGCGGGCGGGAATCGGAAGAGCGGAGCAGCTTGTCCTGGTGGAGGAAGGCCCCTGGGGCCTGAGTCTTCAGGATGCCAGGGTCTGGTTTCCTTGGTAGCACCAGGGAGCCAGCATTCCTGATGAACTGTCCCGGGAAGTGAAGATCTGCTAAGGGACTGAGTCACTGGAATGAGATGCAAGACTGATAGAAAGGAGAAAGGTACAGGCAACTAACAAGTTATCTTCCCAGATCCCAAAGGATTGCTTTCTTTGAATAAATATTACAGTGCATCCGAATAACCAAACCTAGAGAAATGGACTAGGACTTAAAGACCCCAGTCTCCAGAAGCTGGGTACTGAATTTTCAAAATTTTTTTGTCAACCATAGAGAGTCAAAAAGGAATTTGATTTGTTAAGTTTATGCAATGCGAATATTTTACTATAATGAGAATACCTACTCTTACACTCTTTTTAAAAATATATATTTTTATTGATTTCAGAGAAGGAGAGGGAGATAAAAAAAAAAAAACATCAATGATGAGGGAGAATTATTGATTGGCTGTCTCCTGCACACACCCCCACCCGGGACTGAGCTCCTAACCCAGGCATTCCTTTACTGGAATCTAACCCTAATCAGTCCCCAGGCCAAGGCTCTATCCACTGAGCCAAACAGGCTAGAGCAAAAATGCCCACTTTTAATCACCCCATCTGTAAACGAACTCTTCTCTGAAAAAAATATCTTATAATGTTAATGAAATTACAAAAGGCCAAACCTGCTCTTACCCACTGTGGAGCTGGTAGGTAATAGGGGCTCCACAACTCCTGGTGAAAGTGAAGGCAGAGGTATCTAGTGGCTAATATTTGTTAGTTGTTCTGTCTTTACACACAGTAGCGGTCTAAGAGCCAAATAAAAAGAAAGCTGCAAACTGATGTTGAATATTAAAGAAGCTGTTGCCATATTGTGAAAAGCATCCTATTATTTGGTAAAATCCATAATTGCAATAATGCGTGTAAGTGGGCCCATCAATAATCCTGCAGTAGTTGCCCTGTTCCCAGCAAGAGTCTGAGTGGTTCTAGGCTGTCTAGGTTAAAGGGCAGCATACTGCTCCCTACGGCTGACACTCAGGGCCCTGCCCCTAGTCTATGCCTGATTCTCGCCTTTCAACCCATGCCCATCTTTCTGAGGTCACTTGGGACTGTCTGGGCTTTTTCTAGCCACAAGAGGTGCTTGATTCAAGAGTCAGGTTACAGTCCTGAGAACAACTCTCACCCAATAATGGATGGGAGTTGATGGATAAAGACCTCAGCTTCTCAACCCAGAGATGGGAGCCCCTGAGACATTCTTTGGTCTACACCAGGAACTTCCCTACCATAGTGCCTACAGTTGAGTCTGTAGTGCCTACAGTTGCCCAAATAGATAACCTGCTCATTCAGGCACTCTTTAAATGGTTTCCTTCTTTCCCTGCCTCATTTCCCTTCTCTTCTACAAGAGCTTTCTGGGATCACCTCCAAAATAAACCACTTCACTCAAATATTTGTGTCTGGGCTGCTCCTTGAGAAACCAACATGAGGCAGTCTGTAAGGGCTTTTATTCCTGACCTGGCATCATTGGCACAGCAGTCTCAGAAGAGTGAACAGTCCCTGATTTATATAAATAGGTGCCATAGGTAGGGATTCAGTGCTATTCCTTAAGGTGGCTGGACCCTTCTTGCTTCATTTCCTGTTGACCCTGGAGTCTCGGTGAAAAAGACGACAAAGAGAATATCAACGTTCCCATAGAAATGTACGAAGGAGAGACCTCAAATTGGAATGTCAATCGCGCTTTTATTTAGAAGTCATATGCGATTCAGTTATATAAGACTGGAGCTGCCTCCTCTGTTGACCTAACTGTTGTTAATTACCTTGTTTCTGTGGGGAGAATGTGTCACATAACACACATCTCCACCTGGCTGACCTCAGCAGCCTGCTTCAAAGCACTCTTCAAGGTTATTTCACACCTATTACCTCCTGTATCTCCCAGAACAATTCGTGGAATGCAGTAGGTGCACAGCCACCGAGTGAATAGCTGTCTGCTCACACAGTCATTTCAGCAACAGCAAGGCTCAGGCCTGGCTTTGTAACAACACTGACCATTTCTCTCTGAGTTTTACTTTGTTCGGAATCGTTTTTAAAAAAGTCAAGGCAGCAACTGTCTTTACAGTTATAAAAACCAACACATTTATATAATTCATTGGAATGTTTTTGGGGGGTGGAAAATAATTTTCAATATATGTTTTAATTTTTTAATATATTTTATTGATTTTTTTACAGAGAGGAAGAGAAAGGAATAGAGAGTTAGAAACAATGATGAGAGAGAAGCATCGACCAGCTGCCTCTTGCACACCCCCCACCAGGGATGTGCCCACAACCAAGGTACATGCCCTGGACTGGAATCGAACCTGAGACCTTTCAGTCCGCAGGCCAACACTCTATCCACTGAGCCAAACCAGTCAGGGCTCCATATATGTTTTAAAAAGAAAATTAGAATTCATAATTGTTCCACCTAGGGATAATCTCATTTTTTCACAAAACATTTTTTTGTCATAACTAGAATTATATCATACAGAATTATATCATATTTTAGTCTGCTTTTCTCCCCACTTAACAATAGATCAATAATATGTGTTTAACTCGTTAACTATTAAACTCATTGACTCTACAGCCAAATTAACTTCGTGTGCTAAGCTGTCGTTAAGCAACCATGTAACCTTGAGCAAAATTACTTAGCTCTCTATACCTTGGATTCCTTATCTACAGAGGGGGTCCTGGGAATAATAACACAGGTATGTTAGGGTTGTTGAGAGGTTTAAGGAAATGTCAGTATGTGTAACGCTTTTAGAACAATGCTTAGCACAGTTAACATTTTAAAATACTTAATTGCCATTATTCTTCATACAGTATAGCTTTCATTATCATATAACATTTTCAATGTAAAAGTGTATCACAATTATTTAATTATAGTCTTTTCTTAGACATACAGGTTCTGTGATGAGCAGAATAATTGCCCCTCCAATATGGCTACACCAAATCCCAGGAACCTATGAATATGGACCTCATGTGGCAAAAGAGACTGTCTGATTAAAACTTTGAGTTGGAGCGCTAACCGGTTTGGCTCAGTGGATAGAGCGTCGGCCTGTGAACTGAGGGGTCCCAGGTTCGATTCCAGTCAAGGGCATGTACCTTGGTTGCAGGCACATCCCCAGTGGGGGAGGAGGGGTGTGTGCAGGAGGCAGCAGATCAATGTTTCTCTCTCATCCATGTTTCTAACACTCTTTCCCTTTCATGGAAAATCAATAAAATATATTTAAAACAAAAACAAACAAACAATGCTCGGGCGGTTAGAAAGATAACCTTTTCCAATGGAGGGGGTCGGGGAAGAGGATAACAGGAGAAGTGGATGAAGAGCCAGGAAGATGCCAAGTGAAAAGACCTTGGACCCGCCATTGCTGGATGTGTAGATGGAGGAAGGAGGCCCTGAGTCAAGGAAGGTAGGTGACCTCTGGGAGCCAGAGATGGTAGGGGAACAGTCTCCCCTGTAGCCTCAGGAAGAATGCATTCATGCCCACAGCTTGTTTGTAGCCCACTGAGACCCAGGGCGGACTTCTGACCTGAACTGTAACAGAATTCATATGTTTCATTGCAAGCCACTGAATTGCGGCACTCTTGTTAAAGCAGCAATAACACATCAATTTATTTGTTACCAATGTTTTCATATTATACATTTTATAATATTTAATCTTGCAGGTATGTTTCTGCCTATGTTTTGATTATTTCGTTATGATAAATTTCTAGATGTGCATTTATGCGTCAAAGAATGAGCAAAATTATATTACTTTTGGTAAATAATAGCAGTTTTCCTCTGAGGGGTTCTACCAGACTATACTTAGGAATGTGGTTTCCATTTTCCCTGTGCCA